AGGCTCTGTGCTGTCCCAGCAGGCTCTGTGCGTTTTGGGGGGCCTGAAAAATGCACGGGAGCTTTCGCGCTTGGGGCCGCAGAGGACGGTGTGAATTTCCGAGGTTTTTCGCCCCCCAGGAACCCTCAAAGAACCTCGTGAGGCCCATCCAGAAGGCTCTGCACTGTCCGCAAAAGCTCTGTGCGTTTTAGGAGGCCTGGAAAATGCACGGAGCTTTCGGGTTCAGGGTGCAGGGTTTCGGGTGTGCGTTCTTACAGGGCCTGAAAACGCATGGGGACATTCCCTTTCTGTGCAGAGTTGCTCTTGATTTCAGGACGTGCGTGCTGAAGACGCAAGTTTCTAGGACGCGCGTGCTGGACGCCGGGACGCGCGTCCCGAGGCAGCTAAGGCTCTGGGGTTTAGGACTTTGTTCAGGGTTTGGGTATCAAGGTCCGTTGTGGGTGTGTGCTCTAGCATGCACACGCACACGCTGTTCGCGTGCTCGTCCCAACCCTCTAACAAAAAGCCACTCCCTTTTTCGCCGAGCATTGCGAACTGTATTCTTTTGGCAGCCTTGAAAGCCAAAAGCTCGAAACTAGCCCTGCAGCGTAACTCTTGAACAAGGGGAGGGGGGTCGTGAAAGCCACCCTGCCCCCCCTAAATCTGAAAACATGCGGAATGAGGAGGGTAAAAGACTCCCTAAACCCTAAACCCTAAACCCTAAACCCTATACCCTAAACCCTAAACCCTAAACCCCTAAACCCTAAGTGGCCCCCGGGCTGCCGAGTGGCCCATGTTCTTCTTGGTGTAGAAGTCCAGGGCTCCGGCCGGAAAGAGTGGCGTCCTTTGGGCTTGGGGTGCAAGGTTGCTGCACACCGAAATACCACGACACCTGCAAGCCCTAAACCCTATGCCCCTGAACCCCGAAACACCCGAAACGGGTTTGGGCAGCTCAGAAGTTCAGCTTTGTGGCTCAGTGTGGCTCTCCCCCCCCCCCCCCCTGCAATTCTGCTCACACTTTCGGTCCCCCATTTGAGAGACCTAGCAGTCCCTAGAAGACGTCGCCCGGACAAAAAGACCTCAAGACCCTACAAGTAGGAAAAGCCGAGCCTCGACCTCGTACTGCGATCCTCATGTAAAGTCCATGCCCAGCTCGAAGTCCATATCTCTAGGGGTTTTTGCCTTGGACCCTTAAAGGGGTCCTGCCCCTTCATTCTTTCAAGATGATGTAGGTAGTATAAGGGCCGCATTCGGAGTACATTTAAGGGGGAACCTCTAGGGGTGCAACCTTAGGGGTTCTTCATCCCTTCAATATCGAAAGCCTCAAGCCCATGCTTGACCCTTGCAGCCCCGATTTTGCCCTACTTCTGAGGGCGGCGCGAGGACAAAGCCCCAACCCCCAAACCCCATAGACCCCACGTCCCGAGAGCCCGAGACCCCGGCTCAAATCGGTGGGACATGTCCTCGCGCATGTTTTGGTTTTGAGGTTCTGGGGTGGAAGTATCTGAGCCCCAACACCCACAAGCCTCCTGAACCACAGGATTCTGGGCACTACAGCCGAAGATTCGTACGCGTGGGTTTGTGGATAGGACAGCAGCAGGAAGGCATAGTAGATCCAACGGCATAAGCTGTTTATTGTGCTCCTAACTGATCATGAAGCCCTAACCCGCAAGTGCTGGCATTTGCTGGGGGGCTTCAGTCGCCTAGAAGCCCTGGAGAAGGGCTAAAGGTTGTGGGTGTTTAGGGTTTGGGATTCGGGGGGTTAGTGGATTGAAGGGTTTTGCGGGCCTCTATGACGCCCACAAAGTTTCGCACGGTGTAGTCACCGCCTTAGCTTCTGGAAAGATGCTCAAGGCTGCTTCGGAACGAGTGCGATACACGTGCAACTGGAACCTAACCCCTAAATCGGAAGCTTTCCACAACCCTACACACACTTAACGAAACACTAACCCAGATCCATCAATAATTCGAATCTCGGTTTCTGGTGCACAATAGGGATAGATAGGGCTGCAGGGGTTTAGGGCTACGGTTGCAAGGCTCGGTTTCGGTTTAGGCTCGGGTTTCGGGTTTAGGCTGTAGGAGTTGCAGGAGAAGGTTGCTAGGCCTGTGTCTTGCACCCAACTTAGAGGCTGATCTTCGGTGAAGGTGACCCTGACGGATACTCACGACAAGCAGGGACAGGGCGTCTTGGGATTCTTGGGCTGTTCAGGGTTCACGGCAATTCTCCAGGGAATCGGACTTGTGTGGAGTTCACGATAGGTCCGCCTGGTCAGAACTCCGGTCTCGGGGTCCGGTATGGTAAGAAGTAGCCCTAGGGCTAAGGGCTTCGGATTCGAGGCCTCAAAACACGAACTCCCCCCCCCCCCCCCCTCCTGAAACATCCCAACAATGCTACGCCCGGAGCACGAAACCATCAGATTCAAAGCCTCAACTCTGAAGCCCCAAAAACCCAAAACCCAAAACCCGAAACCCAAAACCCGAAACCCTAAACCCTGTGGGACGAGGGGCCTTGCTCCGTGAGGGCTCGAAGATGCCTCTGACGGAGTCGCTGGTGTGCGCACCGCACCAGTCAGCTCTGTTTTCCAGGTTGGGGGAGAAGGGTTAGGGTTTAGGGTTTAGGGTTTAGGGTTTAGGGTTTAGGGTTTAGGGTTTAGGGTTTAGGGTTTAGGGTTTAGGGTTTAGGGTTTAGGTTTAGGGTTTAGGGTTTAGGGTTTAGGGTTTAAGGGCGAGCTTGAAAAAGAAGCTGGGCCACAGGGCGGAGATGGGGTGATTTTCCGAATAGCTCAGGAATCTAGCGGGCTTGTGAGAGAAAGCAAGCGCCAACATAAGGCAAGGAGCTTCCACATCTCCTCCGCAGTCCGGAAGCGTGGGTAGCCCCTCGGTGGAAGGAGATCGCATGGTCTTGGCAGGAGTACTTGGAGGTTCATGATACTTAGTAACCAATTATAACTGTACCTATAACCGTACTTATGACCCACTTATAAGCCCCTTAAGTGCCTCAATATGGTTATAAGTACAGCTATAAGTACGGTTGTATTTGATTAATAGGTACCTTGCCCATGGATGGCTGCTTCCTGGCAGAGTGCTTTGTAAACGATCGCAGAACGAAGGTCTGCCACACTCCACGCTTCTCGAACAGATGACTCAAGAGATCTCACACCTGCTATACTGAAGCTGACTATCCATCTTGACTAGAAGTGCTAGCCGAAGTTCACACTTGTAATACTTGTCGCGCTTGTGTGCAGACAGGAACCCTGAGCACGGAGCGCGAAAAACGCACCGAAGCTAAACCTAAACCTTATAACCTCCCAAGCTGGATCCCAAAACTAAACCATGGTTGGGATGGCATGAAAGGACTAAATTTCTATTCCTTATTGAGTTTAAGTCGTACCCTGAAAATGCAACATGTTACCCCACTATGACCAAGAAAAGCCTGGGCCTTCTCCTTGAGATCCTGACACATTCAGATTCCGGGAGGGCGAGCCCTGTAGCACCGCCCGTCGCAGGACCTTGAAAGACAGATTGGGGGGTTTCCGAAATTTGGGTAATCTAGGGGCCTTAGTGGTTAGAATAGGCTTTTGGAGGTTCTTATCGTATTCTTACAAAGGGACCATAAGGGCAACCTATCCGCAATTGTTCCAACCCCTAAGCCTACATTACCTGATTGAGGTCCTTATCATAAGGGAATCCTACTATTCGGGGCCTCTTCTAGGGGTCCCCTATTTTCGTAAATCCGGTGCTTGGAAGTGGCAAAGGGGTTTCGGGGTTTCCGGGTGTCGGGTGTTATGAGTTTAGGGTTAAGGGCGGCGTGCCTTGGGTGGCAGGGACCCCTCGCTCAGCTCAGAAGTCGCGCACACACACACATGAAAGATCCCGCCCTACCTACAAACAGACGTGTGTGGACACAGGTGCTGCTTTGTGTTGTTCTTCCCCTGAGAAGTGCGCGTTACTCACGTGAACTCGACAGTGATTGATATAGGAGTCCTGGGGTGGAGGGGCGTACCAAAAACACACACACACACACATACATACATATCAGTACAAATACATGCACATATGAAGCTGGCGCATAGGCGGTCCAAATCCAAAACCGTAGAAACATTACAAATTAGTTTGGACTCCTGCTACTTTTACATGGAAGCAGCCCTCACTAAAGGTTTAGGGTTTAGGGTAAGGCTCCGGCTGCAGCGCGCATAGTCGGTTGGCGGACGGGAGGGGTGAGCTTTTGCAGTCTACAGAGCGTCGTGCGCTTCCAAATGGCTGGGTGGGTGCAGTGCCAATGCAACGCTGAAGCCCTAAACCCCAAGCCCTAAAACCTTAGTGGGAGGCTTTAGGGCTCAGGGTTTCGGACTTCGGGTTCAGGGCTTAAGCCTGGGGGCAACAGAGCCATTGCATTCCTACATCATCATGGGGCGCCGGGCATGCAACCAACACAGCGGTTCAAGCTCAACTACTGCAGACCGGACATATCTGAAGAGTGCTACACGCCCTACACCTGGTGTGAGGAGGAGTGAGCCGACTCAAACTTAAGCCCCAACTTCACACTGCATCTCGCTTGTTTCTTTCGGGGTTGGGCCGCAGCTGCCAGCATCGCATAGTTCGCGAGCTGCCAGGCGCTGTGAGACATGGTAGGCCACGTACCCTGAGCCCTATGCAAGCATCCTGTCACCTTAGGGCTTTGGCATTTCAGGGCGTCTGGGGAGTCTTGGTCACGTCAACCGGGTTTAGGGTTTCGGGTTTTAGGGCTTTTTAGGGCTTTTGGGGCAAACCAAGATTCTCGGATGCTTGAAACCCTTTCCCAACACCATACCGTTGATGACCGATGGATCACTTTGGATCCCTGCCAGCAACGAAGAAATTCGACACGCGCTGCGCGTGTTTTCGTGTCTGGCAAGGTCACCCTTTGAAGGCAACTTCATGCTTTCTTTGGTCACTGGAGAGTCCCAATGCAGTATCATTATGAACCGAGCCGGACCTACTCCACAAACCCAGCACACCGAATCCGGCATCAGCCCTGGACATCATGTAGGACTCGCGCTGGACCTGCCATGTTACAAGTGGAGGTACGGGAGGCTGTCATGCTCTTTTCAGGGCGCCTTAAATGAGACACCGCCTACCCTAAGCTTCGCAGATGTCGGTAAGAGGTTCGAGTCAGAGAATGACCTCTCCAGGATCTCTCCATTTTGATTTGTGTGAGTGTTTGTGTGTGTGTGTGTGTGTTTCTCATGCACATCACTGGGTTGTTGAAGAAGGCTTAAGCTGAAGCCCTCAAGCCTCGTTGCCCGACAAGCGATACAAGCACTCTAAGGGTAGCTACATGCTCCCTTCATGTGGGCCCTTGCCTCCTCTAAAGGGTTCTGAAGTATGGGCTGTCGGGTTTTAGGGGGTATATGAGGGGTATATAAGGGGTCCCATTTAAGAACCCTAAATCCTATGAGATCTTCAGAGATGGAGCCCTTTCCTTAGTGGTGCTATTTCATGGGCGTGGGGGAGTGGGTTGTCTGTAACCGCCTAAGCTGATATGCCCGAGATTCTCAGAAGCAAATAACCCGACATGTTTGCCGATAAGCCCGAAGCACCCTCAAGCCAGGAACTATAGGCGTTACGTCCTTGATGAAGCCCTTACACCCAGAAATCTGATAGGCATAGAAACCTTGAAGCACTTTTAACACCCCATATAAAGGCACAAACTCCATAAAGCCTTAAGCTCACCCTAAAGCCCTCAAGTTCTTCAGCCCATGAGCACCCCTAAAAACAAACCAAACGGCCCAAACCCCAAAAGCCCTGACGAACCCTCCAAACCCCGAAGCCCTAAACCCTAAACCCTAAACCCTCACTCTGAAAACCCTGACGAGCCCTATAAACAAAGGCCTTGGCTCGAAGTCCCCGGGCGCATCCTGCATCGAGTCAGGGGCTGAGGAGGAGGGATGAGGGATTAGGGTTTAGGGTTTAGGGCCAAAGTTTGGGGTTTAGGGCTCTTGTCTTTTCCCGTGAATACGTGCTCTGCGCTCACTTAGTTTTCACACGTAGTGTTTCGTGGAGCTATTGTTGAGGTGGTGGCCTCAGCTTTCAGGGGCACAGACCCTAGCAGAGGGTAGGGACACACTGCAAGAGGGCTCAGGACTCCGGTTTAGGGTTTAGGGTTTAGGGTTTCACTGTAGCCAGCTCTTAACCCTTACGAACCTTAAACAACATGTAATATTTGCTCTCTAAACCCCACGCCCGCACTTACATTCCAAAAAAACGCCTTACTTGGGATGCTCCCTCTCATACTAGCAGTCCTGAATAGGGACTATAATACGGGGGGGCTACTATCATCCCTATCAAGGACTGTTAGAACCCTAAACCCTAAACCCTAAACCCCAAACCCCAAACCCTAAACCCTAAACCCCAAACCCTAAACCCTAAACCAAAGCCATACTCCTGAGGGGACTCTGGGTTCAGGGTCTCAGGCATCTCCGGCCTGCCGGACACGGCAATATGTGCCGCGAGTTCCGCCGGCCTGTGAGGTTTAGGGTTCAGGGTTTAGGGTTTAGGGCTTAGGGCTTAGGGTTTAGGGTTTAGGGTTTAGGGTTTAGGGTTTAGGGTTCCGCCGGCCTGTGAGGGCGCAGGGGTAAATGGCCTTTAGGGGCTTAGGGGGGTTTACTGGCTGGTTCTTAGGAGGGAAATAGGGACTGAGGTACCTGTTGAATCCCTTAAAGGGTGTACATAGGGCCCGAACACCCTCGTTCCCTACTAATTCGCTGTTCAGGCCCCAAGCCCTGATGCCTAAGCCCGTGCACACCCTGAGTGCACGGCCACGGCCCTAAGCTCACCCCCCCCTCTGCTGAGCCCCGAACTCCCGAAAGCCCCGCAGCTGCTCAGACTGATTTCAGATTGCGAGTCCGCAGCAGCTCGGGGTGTGCCCTAAACCTTAAAAGCCCTCGACCCTGAAGCCCAGGTTGCCCAGTCACCTTGGATTCAAAAGGGCGCCCCTTTGTTCTTGAAAAAATGAGACCCTAAACCCCCAAAAGGGAATAAGGGTACGACTGGGCACCCTCGAACTGGTAGAGAAAGTTTCGGGTTTAGGGTTTAGGGCCTTAGGGTTTAAAGAGATGGCACATCTGGGGCCCCCCTCCCGCGTGGATTGGCCGCCTGCCTGCAGACCTCGGTCGTCTTTCGTTCTTGCGTCATCGGGTGATGATGCTTGCTAGAAGGGCTCCCCTGCTGCTTCCGAGGAACCGGGATTAGGGTTTAGGGCTAACCCTAAACCCTAAACCTCAAACCCGAAACCCTAAACCCTAAACCCTAAACCCGCATAAGGGATGGGGTCCCAACCATCCAGGGTTCCGAAGCCGGATGGAGACCTACAGCCAAATCACCTTGCAACAGGCTCCCGTCCTCACAGGGTGGACAATCACTGAACCCTATGAATAACGCGCGAAATAAACCCAAAGTCCTAAGCCCCCCTGCAAAGCCTAAACCCTAAGCCTAAACCCTAAACCCTAAACCCTAAACCCTAAACCCTAAACCCTAAACCCTAAACCCTAAACCCTAAACCCTAAACCCTAAACCCTAACCCCCAATTAAACCCCAAACCCTAAACCCTTGAGCGACACCCACTGAGTGGCAGACCATGGTCTAGGTCCCCAATCTGCTCGTAAGGCTGGAATTGGGATATTTTCCCAGTGACCACCTGTCATACACTTCCGGCGTCGGGCTTAGAGGTTTAGAGTGGGCCTCCGAAGTGAGAATGGGTGTGGAAGGAAGGAGCCTGTCTGTCGCCTCTGCTGCTGCTAGATGCTGCGAGTGCGCGCGATCATCGCGATTTTGCTACCATACCTTTCCTTCTCGACCCGTACATGTGCCGAACCATCTAGCGGAATCTAGCGTTCATCCTCTCTTCGCAGAAGCAGCCCACTCGGAAAGCCATGGGCACCAAGACACAGCCATCAACCCCGAAGCCGCAAGAAACCGTAAACCTGATCCCCTAACTCCTGACTCAAATGTGGGTTTACGGTCTTAGGGGTACCTTCTTGGAGTCCTTTTTTGCAAGGGGATCCTACTATTTGGAGGTCTATATAAGGGTCCCTTATTAAGGGTTGTTGTCAAAATGCTTGTTCCCGAAATTGACGTTAAATCGGAACTCCCTCGGTGCCGCCTTATGTCCTGAAGGAAAAAGAAGCTGATTGAGATGGAGTAGCAAACGCGACATTTGAAGGATCCAAGCATGATTTCCTCGAAAGGGTGCTAGCGCGGACCATTTTTCAGGCGCTGCTGTCTGGAGTTCTGGCACGAGCGAAGGTTTCTCCGCTGTCGCCACTTGCGCGGCTCGAGCTCCAGCAAGCATAGCGCTCTCGGTTCTATGGTGTTCCTTTGTGGTCTGCTAGAGGAGGAATGGGCCATGGTCTGCCGGGGGAGGTTGCGTTGACATTTTGCTAGCGCCGTGCTAGCGCGGCGCTAGCGCAAAACACTTTGCCGGATTTTCCAAGACCTGAAACTACGACGTGATGAACGTCATCTTTTTCCTAGAACAACCTCTATCCTGGCAACAGGCGCCCCGTCAATTCATAACGAAGCGGCGCGGGGTTATTACACCACCCCGGATGTTGTACGCATATTTCGGGTGGTGCCTGGCTGGGCCTTCTCAATCAATCTCTGTTGAGTTCGCTTAGTGGTGACATGCGAAACTTGAAATAATGTTTGTTGATTTTACCTAGCGCGAACCTAGCGTTTTCCTAGCGCCACACTGGGGTTTTAGGGGATCCCCCTCGGTGCCGCCTTTTTGCAAAGACATGAAAATAGACCGGCCAAACCAATTAATGTAAATTAAAGTAACTGAGCAGACACGCGCATTTTGAACGCAACCCTTATCGTAAACTCCCAAACGGCTGGGCTGGATGCAAGCTTGTCTTCATGCGAGGCACAAAGCTCCTTTAGGCTACGCCTCGCAGCTCTGCAACCCTTCGACCTCCACAACAACAGCACTAGAAATGTAACAACAGCAAAGCTCACAAAACCTCTTCCAGAAGCTCCAAAAAATTTGCGGATCCCCAAACCCTAAACCCTAAACCCTAAACCCTAAACCCTAAACCGTATAACCCTAAGCCCGTAGAACCTAAACTCGAGCTTTGCAAGCCAAAGGCGGAGCCCCCCACGCCTCGCTCTCTGCCAAGCTGAGCTTGCGCCGGAGGTCGATGAGATACCTGTGGGTCTAGGGTTTAGGGTTTAGGGTTTGGGGTTTAGGGTTTAGGGTTTAGAGTTTAGGGTTTTAGGGTTTAGGGTTTAGGGCTACTTCGAAGTTCCCTAAACCCCTAAACCCCTAAACCCCATAGCCCAAACCTACTCACGCTTGGGGGCCAGAGAGACTCGAACCAGGACTTACGAGGTTCAGGCCTGGGAAGTGGGGGACTGGACTGCGGGCTGCTGGAGCATCAATGCCCCTAGACGAATCCGCTGCAAAAGCCTGGGGGACGAGATGAACGCAAACTTGGGATCACCTAACCTGGTGCTTCTCTAATGCCTTGTAGCCCGGTAGTCCTATCATAATGAGAGTACCCTGTTTTGTGGTTGGCTACTTTATAAGCAGACCCGGAACCAACAAAAAGGTAATTAGGGTACCACGAGGCTATCAAGAATGGCTCGCCACAACACCCTGAAGCCGTGGCTGAAAGCTCAGCATCGGATAGCCGTCAGCGGCCGTCCCAAAACATGCCGACAAAGCAGGGTTTAGGGTTTATAGAGTTTATGCATTAGGGCTTGCCCTAAACCCCATAAACTATAAACCCATACAAACACTGATATACACCCTAAACCAGCATGCCGGGCGCCATATGATGGCCAGCGTGAAGAAGAGGAAGGGAATGGAGACGAAGGCTGCAATGGAGCTCTTGTAGAAGATCCAGACCTGCGTTTGAGAGTAACAACCACAGGAAATCCTAAACCCTAACCCTAAACCCTAAACCCCAAACCCCAAACCCTAAACCCTAAACCTTAAACCCTAAACCCTAAACCCTAAACCCTAAACCCTAAACCCTAAACCCTAAACCCTAAACCCTACAAGAAAGAGCTGCCAAACCGGGCCTGGAGGATGCTAGCAATGAAGTGCACCTGAGCTGCTAGCGCAAGCAAGCAGGAAAGCCCGGGTTTAGGGTTTAGGGTTTAGGGTTTAGGGTTTAGGGCTTGGAGGTTCATGATACTTATTGGCCTAAGTATAGCTGCTATTACCCAGTTCTAGCCATGTTAGGGCACGTAAGGGGCTTACAAGTGGGTTGAAAAGTACAGTTCGAACTGGGTCATAAGTACCATGAACCTCCAAGTATGATGTCTGCCTCCCTCAACCCTAAACCCTAAAATCCTACACCCTAAACCCTAAACCCTAAAACTCAACACCTTGTCGTGGGTTACTGGTGCTGTGAAGCGTTGCCCTTAACCCGACACCCCGAACCCCCCTGCGTTCTAATGAGCCCTAAACCCTAAACCCTGTTTCGACAGGATTCAGGGGCTCAGAGTGACCTTTCAGCGGAAGAAGAGCCGAGGTGCTATCCATCCACACATGAAGCACGAGAACACCAGCGCTTGGTAGTCTCGCAGCGTGTCACATGCCTGCGCCAGCAGCGTGGCACGCTCAACTTGGGGATATTTCGGGCCTTTGGGCACCATAGGAAATCGGGACGTCTTGTAGTAAGTCTTGTAGGCTGTGGGGCTTCTCCTAGAATGAGGGTCCTGAAACCCGAAAACCTAAAGCCTCAGACCCCAAGCCCCGACATCCTAAGCTTGAAAGGCCCGGAAGTTCCAAAACTGTTTCGAGTTGAAGCCCTAAACCCTAAACCCTAAACCCTAAACCCTAAACCCTAAACCCTAAACCCTCTGAACTCTACAAACCACTCGGTAGCCTCAGCCCGGGCCTTGTGGGGGTTGTTCCACAATGGACGTTTGGAGATTTATTTCGCAGGGGCTGCTATTTAGACTGTGGAACTACCATAAGTGGCTAAAGGTGCTAAGGGTTTCAAGACACCGTGCACAGTGGCGTTGGTCTCTTGAGCTCCGTGGTCTATGCGGAGAGGCTTTGTACTCGTGGCGGCAAGAATGCGCAATGCCTAAACCCGATGACTGCTATGACGACTACTACGAAGCTTTTTCCCCATTTATTTCTTACAACATGAGTGATACGTGTCATCATGCAAGATGCAACAAGGAGTCTCATTTTAGGGCTGCCCTTGGCCTGGCCTTGTGCAAGTCAACTGCTCCGCGCTTCCCACGCCTCACTGCGCTTTTCTGAGGCCTAAACCCTGAACCGCAAATCCCCTAAACCTTAAGTCTCAAACGGCCCTAGACTTCTAGCTTCAATCAAGCACCCTCAAGTGAACCGTAAACGCTACACCCTGAAGGTAAAGCTATTCCGCTGCGCTCTTACCTTTGCGTGAAGTTGGGAGCTTGTAATGCGGCACAAGATTTGGCCGCAAAATTCGGGTCCTACTCGGAATACTGACCTAGAAGTGCATTGCGGTGTAAAACCTTGGGCCTGACCCTAGCCCCTAAACCCTAACCGCCGAAAACTCAGGGCAGGCGTCTTGCATGTGGAGAACTTCGGGTATCCACAGAGCCTCCCTCCCCAATGCCTCAAATGCCCAGGCTCCGACATGAACCTACATCCCAAAGGCTCTAATTTTAGGGTTTAGGGTTTAGGGTTGAGGGTTAACTTTGCTATACTTCCTTCGCTTTCCCTCAAGCCCCAGAATCCTGAGGCCAGGGCAGGGCCAAGGATGGTGCCCAGACAGAGAGGTAGCTGGAAATGACGATGACACCCAACTCTGCCCCTGAGCATGGTTTAGGGTTTGTAAGGGTTAAGGGTTTAGGGTTCAGGGTTTGTAAGGGTTAAGGGTTTAGGGTTTGTAAGGGTTAAGGGTTCAGGGTTCAGGGTTTAGGGTTTATAAGGGTTCAGGGTTCAGGTTTAGGGTATCTTTCCGGGTGCCTTGCTCTGGGGCTTAGGGTTTGGGGAGTTTAGGGTTTAGGGCTGTGCAGCGGCTACGCATGGGGTTATGAGGGCCAAGACCTGTCTGGACTTGCGATAAGGTTACAAGGGTTCGTGGGGGAAAGAAGCTGAAGTTGCTACTGCATTCTTGCAGATTCCAGAAGAAGATGCAGCAAACATCTCCAGGCCTAGCTTAAGTTTAATCTGTTGGCGCAGGCTGCAAGCATCTTGGGTCCAGAGCCTGAGGCCCAGACCCATAGCGGTGCTCACACAGAAGAAGTAGAAAAACTCCAACCAGATGCAAGGCTCTTTGTCCTGACAGGCTTCGAGTGGGTGCTCGTTTCTGAGGTTCTCAGACAAAAGGGGAAACACCTAATAACTGCACTTATAACCCACTTCTAAGCCCCTTAAGTGCTCCTAACATTGTTATAATTGGGTGATAGCTGCAGCTACAATTGGGTTCAGAAGTACCCCTAAACCCTAAACCCTAAACCCTAAACCCTAAACCCTAAACCCTAAACCCTAAGAAGTACCATAAACCTCCAAGTAGGTGGGCTCAACGAGCTTAAGGCTGTTACGCCGTGTGGGCCCCCCCCAAGGGGCCCGACATGCTCTCACAAGGGGGGCCTTCCTTCTTCCACCCCAGGGTTTAGGGTTTAGGGTTTAGGGTTTAGGGTTTAGGGTTTAGGGTTTAGGGTTTAGGGTTTAGGGTTTAGGGTTTAGGGTTTAGGGTTTAGGGTTTAGGTTTAGTTTTAGGGTTTAGGGTTTAGGCTTTAGCGTTTAGGGTTTAGGGTTTGGGGTCTCTGTACTTTGACCTCCACGGCTTCCGACATCATGCCCCACAGAAACCCCCCCCCTTTGCTCTACGGCGGGGTCGGCATGAACCAGCATCATGAGCCCCATAGCCTGAGAATCCTTGGAGCCCTTATAACCCCTGAACTCTTGTCCCAAAACCCTGAACCCTGAACCCTGAACCCTAAACCCTAAACCCTGGAACCCTGGAACCCTAAACCCTAACCCTAAACCCTGGAACCCTAAACCCTAAACCCCTCAAGGCCCAAAGCGCAGGGGGCCCGTCCTTGGGCATGGGTGCTGTGAGGAAGTTGAAGGCAAAACCGGCCAGCATGGCAGCCTGACCTCGGATTAGGGATTTGTAGGATTTAGGCTTTAAGGGTTAAGGGTTTAGACTTTAAGGGTTAAGGGTCTAGGGCGTTTAAGTTGGCCGGGTTTCACGGTTCGGGGTGTAAGGGTGTTGGCCAGGGTTTGGGGGAAATCAGGCATGACATGGCATGAGCCAAGGTGTCGGTGTACGGGGTAAGCGGTGATTGTTGAAGTTTCGGGGCCCAGGATTTTCGTTTGTTCTTAGGGTAGTTACATGGTCCGTGCTGTAGATTTTTGAAAATGACTGTGCACCATGGCTTCAACAACTGTACCTTACATCTTACTCTATATACGTATATACACATATTCGTATACTATATATACCTTATATATTACTCTACATACATACACATATTGGTATACTATACAGTATATACTCACGTGCTTCTGTGTTTGGGTTTGGGGTTTCAGGTCAGTCAGGGTTCGGTGCGGCTTCAAACTGTGGCCTTCAAGCGCCGCAGTCTAAAAACAAAGGACATCCTGATGACAAAACGCCTGAAGCACGTCCAAAGGTGGGTGTCTGTGGTGAAAACCCTGAATAAAGGAGCCTAAACAATTAGAATAGGGTTGTGGGGTTTATGATAGTATAATAATATAGGGACCATAAGGGAACAGTATTCGTAATTAGTCCGACCCTTACTTGGAGGTTCATGGTACTTATTGTCCAATTGCTTATAACCCACTTATACGCCCCTTAACTGCCCTAATACGGTCATAAGTACAGTTATAAGTACAGTTATAATTGGGCCAATAACAAGTACCAAGTAAGGATCACACAATGCCCCCCCCCCCCCGCCGCCCCCCCCCCCCCCCCCCCCCCCCCCCCCCCCCCCCCCCCCCCCCCTCCCCCCCCCGTCCCCCTCGCCCCTAAACCCCCCCCCCCTAAAGTCCTAGAAACCCTAAACCCTAAACCCGAAAACTCAGGCATCCACCGGAGATGGTCTGGTAGTTGCCACAGTACCAGTCGACCTGGGCCGGCGCAAAGAAGGCGCTTTCGGCCTAGCATGGGCTTCATAAGGAATGTGTAGGGCTTAGGGTTTAGAGATTTGGGTATGGGCTTAGGCGTCAGGGTTTGAGGACTTTCGACTATTTGGCTGTCAGCGGGTCCCCCTCCCCGCAAAGCTTCACAAGTTCACCTCCTCCAACACCCTAGACCCTAAACCCCAAAGCCTAAAGCCTAAAGCCTAAACCCTAAAGCCTAAAGCCTAAACCCTAAACCCCCAAAGTGGTCTAGGACTCCGGCCTCCATCTGCCGAATCTCGACTTGGCCTGGGTGCGTGTGACTTAGGGGATTCGAGTAGGGTTTAGGGTTTAGGGTTTGGGGCTTAGGGTTTAGGGTTTAAGGTTTAGGGTTTAGGGTTTTTTGATCTGGAACTACACCTGGAATCACACTGGCGAGGCAGATTTGCTCTCCAGGTGTTTAGGGTATAGGGTTTCGAGGAGTAGGGGTTGAGGGGTCTAGGGATTCAAGGATCTAGGGGGTTTGGGGGTTTTGAGCAAGGTATTAAGTCAGGGCTTTGGGCGTTTGAAGGGCTGGGGGCGTTGCCGTGTTTATGCGCCCAGCACGGGGGGGTTTTGTTGGGGGCTGTTTGCTGGAGGGTTTTTATCGAAATGCCAGAGTATGGGCATGGTAGAAGCTAGAGCTCGTATTGGGTGCTTGGAGTTTGGGAATGTAGCAGATGGCCAGGACAACTTGCAGAATGTTCTTTGTGCACTCCGCTCAGCACCCAGCCTTTCGACACTTGGGTCACAATCTTGTTCTTTCGCAGCTGCAACATGGCGGACGCCTTAAAATCCAGGCCGAGGCCTGCAAGAGGCAACCGATGTTGAGACCTGTAGGGCCTGTAGGGTTCTTGCGAAATCACGGCGCTTGGTGTTTAAGCCGTGAAGGTGGCTCTTTTGCACTTCTTGCTGGAGGGCGGGGGCTCATGTACTTCGTGGCTTGTTCTGGGGTTTTTGCGTGTCCCAGCGCCAGATCCTTCTTTGGTTGGTAACCAGCGCCTAATGCACCTAGAGACATGCATGCTCTGCCCACAGAGCCCAACACTTGAATCATGTTAAGGATCCCTAAAATAAGGTATATTCCTTAGTCAAGGGTCATTGGGCTCTTTGGGTGTTGGACCTACACCAACTTGCGACTATAGAGCTGAATGAGCTTGCCTTTGAGCCGCACGCAAGCCTGCAAGCCTGCTGCTTAAGCAGGTTTCAACAAAGTGTTGAACCTTCCACCTGCTTGGAACTCTGACCCTAAACCCTAAACCCTCAACCCTAAAGCCTAGACCCCAAACCCTAAACCCTAAACCCTAAACCCTAAACCCTAAACCCTAAACCCTAAACCCTAAACCCTAAACCCTAAACCCTAAACTCTCTGCCTGCGTGTTTTCTCTTCGCACGCTTTCAGAGCCTGGTGAGTTGCATTTTCCAACTCGACTGCGTC